AACAACAACAACAACATTGGAATTAAAAATCTAAACAAATCCTTTTTTATACTTCTATTTTGTTTAAATATATAGGTATCTCTATTATCCGTCATAATTTTAATGCTATGTACACTGTACAAATAAGATTTTTATATTTTCTTTTGTTATTATTCATAATAAAAAATTATGCTTAGTTCATCTTAATACATAGATACATATATTATGAAACTAMTAAGAATTGATTTTTTATAAGCTAATAATTACAATAATATCGTTTGGAATTTGTCAAAATCGTGTAAAAATAAGTTTTACTTTAAAAACTCACTTCAAATAACATAATTATATTATTATAATTAATAAATATCAAAAACTCTACACGTTTAAGCCAATATATTATGTTTAGTCTAGAAATGTTAGAGGATAATTTATCATAGATATTTGGTATACCTAAGCAATAATCATATTTTATTTATATGTTCTGTATACCTATAATCAAGATTTTATATTGATTATTTTTTTTTCACTATAATATCATAAATGTTTAATAGCTGAGCATTAATATTAATTATATTTTGTGCATTTAAAATAGGTAAATTAATATAATTAAATTTACCTTTAATGGGTTTGTCAAAGGCCCTCCATATACTTGTTCCGAGCTTCCTTTTAATAATTGTGCTAATAGCTGAGGACTAGGTTCGGGCGTTTTTTTCACTCTCGAACATCCTTCCAACTGACTTGGACTAGACGTTGTTCTTTGATGACAAACCACTGTTTCATTAGTGCCATGTTTCTTTCCGGCCGTAACTGACAACGGTAAATTTGCACTGGTTTTTCTTTTCGGCGATGTTCTGAGTCTTAACCGGTCCGACGGTTGGTCGGGCGAGGTGTAGCTTCTTTTTAGCTGACAATCGTCGGCCGATCGGATTTGCTTAGGATATTCATCAAGGAACTTCAAGGCATCTTGCTTCTTACCATTCACTTCTGGTTTTTTTTTTTCATTTACTATCATTTCCAAATACGGACCACGGAGAGGTCTTTTTGAGTAAGGCACGGGGGGACCAGAATTTTTTTCGGAATCAGAGTTGTCATTGCATGGAGATGATGTACACTCTCTTGTTGGTGATAAAGTTTGACTATGATTACCTTGGTCGCTTTCACCTTCTGACAAAGAGTCTGCTTTTGACAATAAATATTTACGGTAATTTACTTTTGGCGATGAACATACTATTTTTTCTTCATCTTTTTCTTCAGAACTCTGCGCAGATAATTTAGGTCGTAGTAGGGGCAGTTCTGTGAGGGACGACCACTGAGGCATTTGTGGGAAATCCGGACTCTGTGGTTCTTCTTTTGGTGAATCAACAGGTGTRCTAGTAGTACTATCCTCGATATTCTGAACAGTACCGTCAGTCTCAGATTTCCACTCCGATAAAAATGTTTCTTCGGTTACTTGATCAGGAGATTCTTCAACTGATACTTCTAGCGATTCTTCAATTATCGCTACGTCTGACTGACACAATTGATCTGAAGACTTAAACGATTTATTTTTTCGTCTAGGGGGCGTAGGTACATCTATAGCATCGTGGTCTTGAGAATAAGATCTTACAGGTTCAGATGAATGGGCTTTACGAGAAAGGGTAACAGGATTTGGTGTACTCCTTTTCCGTCCATCGGATCTTATATATTTACCGTCAGATGGCGAATAATAAACTTGGGAAAATGATGCACTCCTAAACGGTATAGACCGCTGGTAATAGGAACCGACTATAGTTCTAGATTCGGGTTTTCGTATACCATCTTCGAACTTATCTAACGATTCCTCACCACTCAAATTCGCTGTCGACGTGGCTGTGCTACCCATCAGATTTTCATCTTTAATATCTGACGCCTGTGCCTCACAAGCCGGTGGCTGCTTCAGCTTGTCTGTGAGCTTCCTCAGCCGATCGGATTTGTCAGTAGTTCTCTGTGTCACGTTTTGTTTAGGTTTTTTATTTTGTGAGCCACCTCTACCGTTGCGACTGCCGAAACGAAACCTTTGGAACCGRTCCAGATTAATAGCTTCTTGCTCTTGTAAAAGTAGACTTTTAGAATCGTCACAGATTTTAGTGACTAACGGAACACGATCGACATTTAACTTACCGAAACAACCGGACGACGATTTTTGAACACGGTTAGACCAATCCAATGAGCTACGGTATACTGGCGCCTGTATTCGGGGCAGACAAGTAGCGCCAGTAGTATGTCTATTATTAGAGCCGGTCGGAAGAGGGATTCGGGATGTTACTCCGCAGCAGCACGACGATTCTTTAGCGTCAGTATCTAGTTGGAACTCGCCATTAGATGGAGCCACGGTGACATCATTTTTGGTAGATATTGGACCAAACCGAACTCGAACGGAACCAATACTAAAATATTGAGGTTGCCTGAAAAATGATCAATATAATTAATACATTTTCATTGATATATTCAAATATAAAATA